GAGTGAGAACCTCCTCTTATGATTGCTGTTGTAAGCTGTGAAAGCAACAGATGGTTGCCAATGCAGAGAGCACAAACCTAGAGTTGTCAAGTTCCAGTTTTAATTCCAGCGTGGTGTGAGCCATGTTTTGTTCCCCTCTATCCAGATCCTATCTCCTCAGAATATAAAATAGCTAATCTTTTTGTCTGTAAGCATGGAGATATCTGCAAGGAAAACAAACAGATCTAGGTTTGTGTCTTCTTCAGTACGGCAGATCTTAGAGGTGTGAATTTCTCTAGACATTTTGGTCAAGGTGTGGGGAGGTACTTGCTGCAAAGTAGGCTCCTCTAATTATCCTTCATGTCTCCAAGTTGAACAGAGAGAACCTAATTCCATGCCGGAGGAGAGGGAAGCCAGTGGCCTCACATTGTGCTGAGGAGGGTAAGGACCTCTGTCCCCACTGCTCTTACTTGGCCATTGTTACCATAAAACAGGGAAGCTACAAAGAATACTGTGGGATCTCAGCTATGTCCACTCCTCTGACTTCAATTTTCTTATAAATAAATGGAAATTATGCTTCTGTGAGTCAAGAAGGTTGTCTAGAAATTGAGTATGCGGTTTGTCTTAGCTGTTTTGTTTTTGTTTTTTGTGGTTTTTTGTTTTTTAAATAACCCATCGCACTGTAAGCTGTGTGCACCAAAAGCTTTTGGAAAGCTTTGCAAAGACTAATGCATTATTAAGCTAGCAAACCCCTATGGGGCACCCTAACAGATGGGAAGATGCAAGCAGAGAGAGGATAATAACTTGCTCAGGGCAACAAATTATGTCAGCAGCAAAGTTAGGAATGCAGTTTGTGTGTTTTTAACTATGTCTTCCAGCTGATATCCATGGAATTAGGCAACTTGAAATACAACACAGGGTTTTTTTAGTCTGACAAAAACCCTGAAATGAAGAACAATATGCTGTTGCAGAATATCAAGACCATTCTTCATGCAAGGAGTTCTTTGAGACCTCTGTTTTTAAGTATCTAAAGGTGAGGAAAAGGAGTAGCCAAGTTTTGGATTGTAGATTAAAACACATCCGCCTAGTCATCCAAAATACAGTGAAAATCAGTGATTCGGTATGCCAGCCAAGGCAGCAGAGAACCTGAGAGAGGGATATTGTTAGGTACTGTAGCAGATGGAAAAAGAGACCTAAAGGAAAGATTTTAAGGACATAGATAATGCTGGATTTGCCTGTAAAATACCAAAACTAGAGGGAAATGAAAATTTGTAAGTATGAATTTCCTTTCTCCCTTCTTAAAAACAACTCCCCCCAAAAGCAAAACAAAAACCAAAAAACAGTCCTTCCCAGTTTGTAGTTGAGAAGCCAAGATGAATCACTGGTTCCTCCATCTCATCTTCTTTCCTTTGTCTCTTCTTTATTGGCAGCTGTCCTTGCTTGCTGCAGAGATGCTAGGTAAAAGATGAATGCTCCCGTTGCAGTGTAGTATCTTCCAGATGGTGTCCATATAATACCACAGCACCGTACCATGTTAATTTAGCCAACACACATTCAATTTATTACAGTTCCTACATTTTCAGCATGTTTTTTCTTATTTATATGTATCTCTTTCGGGAAACAGTGAAAAACTTTGAAGTCCAGAGTGGACTTCACTAGACTGTACTAGTCTATGTACTATGGACTGGACTAGACTGTATGTCTTGGAATTAAGACTTCACTGTATATTCCAATTCTTAGTGGCTTTCTTATCCATCTTATTTATATTCATAAATATTCCACTTAAATTCTTTAAATATTGCAATGCCTAAACATACAAAAAACTGCCTCCCCCATTTAGTCTGGAAGTTTAATTGCTGTACAGCATGGTGTGTACATGCACTCAAGTTGGAATTTATGTTGACTGACTTGTATAATTAGATTTTGCCATTGCATTTAATTTTAGAATAAAGCACATTTATTTCCCTTACACTAGATTCAGGAAATAAACTATAATTGAAGCAATCAGATTTTTTTCCAGGCTTCTCTGATATTCTGAATAATAGTCTAAATTCGTATGGTATTTCAGGTTCTTTAACTGAGTGCAAGCAGTTATTTAGACCTGATACATCAGAGAAAGTTTTCAGATTTGTTTTTTTATTATTTCAGAGGGGGTTGTTGGGGAGCAGAAGGAGCCTTTATACACAGGCAGCTTACACAGTGCTCATAGTGTTTAAGCCAGGCTCTCTCTGAGGAGGACCCAGGACCAGTTTAACTATGTGTCTTACTAAAATAAGTGGTGGTGGGCCATTATTAGTATCAATATGAACATCATTTTCATAGCACAGGTGAGATTTAAAGAACAGCCTGGTAGCACTGACCTTGCTTCAAGCAATAGGATTGGTGGGTATAGCCAAATTTTCTGTCAATTTACATCAGCATCAATGCAGTGAAATCTCTATAGTGAATACCACGTACATCTTTGGCTGTGGTACCTAATGACTCTGTACTAGTTTAACATCTTAAATGGGATGGACCCACAGCTTGCCCAGATGGAGCAGGGTATAAATCAAAAGGCATATAAAAAGATGAAGGCAGAGGGAAGATCAGCACTGCACACTCCTTAAAGAGCAGTGAAATCGCTCGCTCCTGGATGACTGCTGATAGATGCTGAGGAAGAAAGATGCTGTACCAAAATGTGGCTGAACATACAAAGATTTGTATCCCATGGGATTTAAAATAGAAAAACTAAATAGTTTGGAAGTAAATCAGACAAATATAACTTGTCTTTAGGATGAGCAAATGAGTATTTGCCATGAATAAAAGGTCTGTCTGTAATTTGAAATGAATTAACTCGTACGTATTTTAGTGTCAGTGGACTCGCAGTAATTTCTGGTGACAGTTCTCTCCATTCCAATATTTAATGCACGTAGTACTCTTAATTATTGTAACTCAGGTGTGAGACTTTCATAAAACTGAAGAGTTTAGTAAAGGCAGTTCTTCAGTGGTAGAAATTATGACTATAAAGTAGATTTATTTTTGTAATTTTACGATTTAGTAGAGCTGATTTGGAGAGTCACTGATGGATCCACACGAGTGTTCTTGCATGCAGATTTCTGAACTCCAGGGACCAGTTTAATTTGCAGTTAGGAACCTTCTTTTAGGATTTTGATCTCCACCCTAAAGAACAGTGTGGTATCTCTGAGCAGGCTCTAACTACATTCAGTAATAGAAGGGAAGCATAAAGCGTACACTTAAAAACAACAACACCAAAATCATGTTGCTGTTGTGATTTTTTTGTTTGCTTGTTTGTTTTAAAAAAGTTATTTCTGCCTTCTATGATGAATAGCCACAGTGGCTGAGAAGACTTGCTTACTACGTCTTTCTTGTGCAACAAGATAGGACCCTGATGGTAGCAGAGAAAGAGCAGACCTTCAAATGGCCTGTCAAATGTTTCACAGTGGTTTCAGCTATAGGTTGTGAAATAGTGTGCGCATGTTTGCAGCTCAGCTTACTCTGGCTTATTGACAAAACTGTAGAGTAAATAGGGCTGGCATTAAAGTCTGTGTAACCAAAATGGCACATGAGCGCAGAAGAGCCTGGCCAATGGTTGCCCCCTCACTAGTGCAAAATCTCCTCCAGTGCTTGCTTGCTGCCACATCTTTTCTCCGTTTCATGATGAAGATAGCAGTCTTCTTCCCACAGCTGTTGACTTTCAGATGAGGAGAGGTCTAGCAGAAACTGTTCTGAGGAAATTCTCACGCGATTTCTGAAATTCTAGTGATGCAATCTTAAAAACTTAACAGTTAATCAGTGAAGCACTTTTTTGAGGGTGCAACTATAGGTCAGTAATCTGGTAATGTGACAGCTGCCAAGGAAACGAAAATTGAATTTTCTGGTCTGTTTCAACCATGGAGTTGAATTACATTTCTGTTTATATTTAATGAACAAATTATTCCAATATCTGTGAGATTTAATTAAGATGGGGAGCTTATGTGCGGAAGAGGGAGGCTGCTACAGCCTACAGATTAACCACGCACTGGTGTTTATTGTGGAGGAGAAGGTACAAAACAGTCATTTTTCACTTGTCTTGGCAATGATTGGGATCAGTCTTAGTTATCTATGCTAAAAAACAAAAAAACTATGTAAGGCAGGAATAGTAGGACACTGGTTCCTGCTACAGACCAAAAGAATCCTGGCAGAAATAAGCTGGGGCATCTTCCCTCATGGTTTTAATTAAAATATGTGGCAAAATCTTCTTTCTTCCTCTTGCTAGAGGGATTATGTCTGTTTTACAGTAGGGATAATGCTTTAAGTACCTCTGTTCCTGTGTGCATTGGCAATAGGACTGGTGACTTTAAATGCTATGGCTCTAAATGACCCAAACAGTAATCTTTTCCGACATGTCCCCAAAAGGACACTGATGTTTCTTTGAGAGGGTTCTTAATCTTTAATTTCTGTTTCTTGCTGCTATTTGCTGAGCTTGTTTACAGAAAGCAGAGTACGGACAAAGGAGCTCCCTACTGATTCTTACCCTGTCCTGATCATTAGCAACAGGACAGTAAGATTTCTTTGGCCAAAAGAACATCACTTCTACATATGATCTAAAGGGAACATTTAAGTTAAGTGTATTAAATAGCCTCAATCTAGCCTAGCTTTGTATAGCCTAGATGACTTTATAGCAGTCACGTCTTGTGCTCTTTGGTCAAACAAATATTAACTTTTGATCTGAAAGCACGTTTGGAACAGAATTTTTTTTCCTTTAAATCGAAACATTTTATAAAGATACTCTTCAGTATATTCTATTACAGAGGTAAGTTTCTGTCAGTACTAACATAGAGATTGTATTTCTGTTTATATTCATATATAATTACTCTTATATCGAGGTTTTGTTCCATACTAACTAACCAGGAACAGTTGTAAACATTGAGAAAGTTTGTCTCAGCGTACTTCCTGAAATACAAATATAGTTCCTGAATATGAAATTAATGAAATACAAGCAACAACTTAGCATTGAAGATAACAGAATTTTTCTTTCTCAGGAAGACTATGATCGTCTGAGACCTTTATCTTATCCTATGACCGATGTCTTCCTTATCTGCTTCTCAGTGGTAAACCCTGCTTCATTTCAAAACGTGAAGGAAGAATGGGTACCGGAGTTGAAGGAATATGCACCTAATGTTCCTTTTTTACTAGTAGGAACACAGGTATCTGTTTCTGTTTTAGTTTATATAAATCACTTGACTGTTTATGCCCTTTCTTGGGGCTCAGAGTTCAAGTCCAGCAGGATCTGAGCAGCACCTCCTTCTGGATTTGCAGAACTACCCCAACAATTGGCAGGAAACTTTAAATCTTGTGTTGTTCTCTAATAAGCAACTTCTGCTTTGTTGAAATAAATGCATTGGTCTGCAACTATCAGTCATATCTATTACTTACGGAAGCTAAGGAACAAGCGGAGAAGTGAGACAAAATTTCCTCCTGCATCTTGTAGCCAGTGGATTGGACTCCAGCTGTGAAGTGATCCATCTGTCGCTATTATGTTTGAGTTTGTTGGGCTGCCACTGCTAGATATACATTCTAGTATTTTAATTGAAGAGCTGAGTTAGGCAGTAAATGTTTTGAACTTCTGGACTGAATGCAGTTCACAGCTTAAATTTCCAGGGCTTTTGGATCAGTTAGGATTGAAGATCTGAACAGTGACATGATTCCATTTTTTTAATGCTTTAAAAAGAGGTTATTTATATAACAACCAGTTGACTTTTGTTTAGAAAAAAGCTATTCCAACATGTCTGCAATCTTTCTTGCTAGATTGATCTTCGTGATGACCCCAAAACTCTGGCAAGATTGAATGATATGAAAGAGAAGCCTTTATCTGTGGAACAAGGACAGAAATTAGCAAAAGAGGTAAACTAGAAACTCCTAAATGAAATGACATACCAAAGAAGCAACAAACATCAATTTTCAATTGGCTTTTTCTTCCTCTACAGCTTTGCCCATTTCTTTTACCAGTTGATATAGGAAACCTCATAACTGGCAGCTAAGGAGCAGACCTATGGAATAGTACTTCCTTATTAGTAATTGTTCTAACTTTCTGAATAGAAACTCGGTAAAAATTATGTAAGCATTAATCAGAGATAGTTGAAATCACAGAATGGTTGAGGTTAGAAAGGAACCCTGGATGTCATCTTGTCAAATCCCCATGCTGAAGCAAGGTGCTGGAACCATGTGTAGGAAATTATTTCTGAATGCTGTATTACCATTTTAACACCCTGTGTGGATACTGTGACCATTTCTATTGTGACTTCCTTTTGAAACATAAATTGGTTATGTTATTTTTTGCTGTTTAGTTACTGAAAATGCCTGGAGGACCTCACTGCCTGTCCAAAGAGTGTATTTAATATGCTTCCTTTAGAAGACAAACCAAATTAAAGAAATGCCCTATCTTTGGCCAGAATACAAATCTTCTGTTCTTCTACAGGGGGAAGCACATTCAGAAAAATTTTCAAGATCGCAGACAAACTTTGTGGTTTTCACTATAGAAACAAATCGCTGAGGTGCACAGTTCTGAACAGCTGCAATATGTTGCTATTGAATTAACTTATTTTCTTGACAGATAGGAGCCTACTGCTATGTGGAGTGTTCAGCTTTAACACAGAAAGGACTGAAGACTGTTTTTGATGAAGCTATTATAGCCATTCTAACTCCAAAGAAACACACGGTGAAGAAGAGAATAGGTTCGAGATGCATAAACTGCTGTTTGATCACGTGAGATACATTTGACAATGGCCAGGCTTACTGTGAAATTCTACTGAATTTAAGTACAATGCGTTAAGTACACAGCAAACTTGTTTGAAAGCTAAAATAATGATTCTGCCTTCTACAACCAGTGAAATCCAGAGGAATACAATCAAAATCAATGAACTTTGTAATAGGAAGCCACCACATCTGTTACAAATATTTTATTCAGACTGGAAGGTACAATCTCTCAGGGTTACATAGTCTAGAGGAAGCAAAAAGCTGCACCATGTTGAAACAGCATCTGTATGATGCTATTGAGTGGAGGTGCTTGGCCTGTAATACTCTAAATGAATTTGGATAGTCGTCTGTTTTGACTACACATATACAGATATATCTAGAGGGGAAAAAAAAAAACAAAAAAAACAACAACAAAAAAGAAACTTTTGCACAGTCTGTATGGAATCTGCACAAAGAAATACCTTGTCTCTCTTTGCGCCAGTTATCTGCTTTTGTATGTAAGCTGCTTGCGGTTCCAGTGTATCCACAGAGGTGCAATAATCAGACCAGCCATATAGCCAAAGGTAGCTCCGAGGGAACATGAAATGGGCCATACCTGAGGGGAGAATGCAAGGGAAAAGCAGACAATGAGAAAAATTGTTTGTGTTTTTTGTACTTTGTGAGCACAAATTCTCAGTGTAATCTAGGTACTGAAAGACAGTGGAGTCTTATTCTACTCTAAAGCTTGATGTGCTTTCCTAAAAATGCCACAAGTATAACAATCATACGTGCATCTTCATGAACACTAAATGCCGTGGTAAAGTTTTGTTATTTTTTATATTAATATGTATTAAAATGTAACCAGGCTTCTGGCTGTTGCAGATCTTAGTTTGATGTTCCCAAAACTACGTGAAAAACTTACTAGCATTTATATCCCCCAAAGTGTTCAGCTAACTTAGCGTCCTGCTGAACACACCTTGAAACCTACAGATTTTATTTTTTGTGACAGTTAGACTTGAAGATCTTTGTAGGTCCCTTCCAACTGAAACTATTCTATTCTAAGTCTGCCTTTTTCCATTTTTCCTTCCAATCTTTCATGGTATTCTGAAACTTTCAGAGGTGTGTCTAAATAACCTAATAATACAATAAGGCCAGAAACTGAGATGAATAGAGGGTTGTTGTTTTTTTTTTAGGCTTGAAAAGTAGGCAGAGGGATGAATTCCCCTCTGGCTAGAAGAAGGAAGCAAACTTAAGTCTGGAAACTGACTGAACATCTTGCACCCAGTTCAGGAAAAATATAATAAGCCAGTATGTTGAAGACTGCAAGAGAGCTTTCATTATAGGCTCTATTTCCTAACATAAAAACAGGGAACTGACTCAATACAGCTGACTCACACAAAGCATCTAGTATTGAGGCAAAGAAGTAATGGAATCCTTCCCACCACCACTGTCAAATTGATTTTCAGGGAGGATGGGCCAAAACAAAACTGTAAACATTCTGTACTCAGATGTAGCATATTTTAATGTCAACTGCGTGTTGCATTTGATGAAGGTCCCAACTAAGTTGGTAATTGAAAATATTGTAGAGTAAACTGAATTCCCACCTCTCTTCAAAATTCTCCATTGTGTATTGCAGGGACAATTTTGCACATCCTGCTGTACAATCCTTAATCTAGTACAGACTGCACTGTCCTATTCTTTGTTTTTTAAATTAAGGGGAATATTCCCCTTCTATAGTACTTGAGACTGAGAAATGCACTAGACATTAAAGAAAATATCCACATCTCAGTGTCCAGCCTTTTTTTCTACTTCATTTTGACAGGCAATTCATGAGAATCAAATGAACTTGCTCTTAATGGTACTGGTTTCTCATTTTCCTAGATCTGATTATTTTCTTTACTCCAGTATCACAGGAAGAAATAGATTTATTCATGTCCTTCAATCATGGGAATTTTAACTAGGAATAAGAGTAACTTATTTTTGTCCTCCGCTGTTTCATCTTCACATTCCTTAGCATTTGCAGTTTTATATATTATTTGGAGGTCTTAAGGAGTGTAGCAAAGATGACTATAAACAAGGTGCCTTAGGTACTCTTTATTGACCTTGTTTCATTCTTCCATTTCCAAACATTCTATCTCTGCTATTTGGTTTCAATGCTAGAATGTTTTGGCTGTTGCCTCTCAAACCAAAGACTTGCTTGTTTCAATTCAGCTAACAGTGGCATTGTAGATCTTCTATAAAAAGCCTTGAGATGCTTTGGCACAGTAGGATATTATGTATATTTAAAACTCACGACTTTGTGGCCTTGGCTAAACTTATGCTTCAGGTAGATCTTTTCAACTTTTAAAAGAAATGTAATCAAGTTATTTCTAACACTTTGCAGGCTATTTTAAGTGTCTAAAGGACAAAAGCAAAAAAGTCCCTGAGACCCCAGTTACTCAGAAACGTTCAATGGAAACAGCAGTCAAACTTTCTTATCCACTGGTGAAGTGAAATACCATTCTAACAAAACTAACAACAGAAGCTTCATAACTCAGTGGTCTTCTTTTGCATCAAATTCTCTGTGAGTGATCAATGATCCTTCATTAAATTTTACCTACATTAGGTGAATCTATTGTAGCCAAATTGCTTTTCAGAAGTATGAGTAGATGTCAGACTGATTTTTCATGTTCCCTTAGCCAGTAAGGTCAATATCTCTGATGACCCATTCGCTCTGTATTTTTTGGTATCGTATGTATAGTGAGCAATTGTTGAAATGATTAAAATTATCTCTGTTGATGCTGTAGCTTCTTTTTCCTGATTGAATCACAACTTGGAGCACAGTTTCTCAATAGTTTTCCTGAATTATGTAACTTAATATTGATGATGCCTCTGTTTGCCCTCCAAAACGTTCAGTTTTTGCTTTGATTTCTTAAAAAATCAGTGTTACCTCACAGGCCTTCAGGCTGTCTTACTTAACACCTGACCTCTGAAATCCATCCCTCACCATGGCAGATATCAAAGGTAAGGGGTAAAAGGGAGAAACCGTACAACACTTCATCTCACTGACTGTGAATAGGATCGAAAAAGAAACATCATCCTTCTAGTGGCATAGAAAAGAAGGGTACTGTAGAAAAAAAGAATGTTACCAGGTGCCTTATTACTGTTAAAGGCTCATGTGTTTTATGCTGGAGAAATGGCCCAAACAGTTGTAAAGGCATTTTGGCCTTCTGAAAACTCCCTAAGCACAGGAGCTACAAGCCTGGACATAAGAGAGTAGCTGTCTGGATGTCACCTCTCAAGGCAGGGCAAAACAATAAACAAGTAATGGTACAAGCTCTGCACCTTTTATTCATGACCAATGCCACTTGATGTATTTAAAGAAATCAGAGAAATATTAATATGTGGTTCTTAAGCTCATCAGCTGCACTGAAATAACAGCCCGTTTGTATGCTTTACAGTCTGTAGCAAATGTACTGCATCGCGTCCACCAAAAAAAGTGAACTGCTTTCTTTTTCATCAGGTGCTGGCCTTGTTTTTCTGAGGTTCAGTCGCTTTCTGCTGAACCTTTTTAAGTGAAATTGACTTCTTTGATCAGTCTACTTTTGCCTTGTCTTGCATATTTTCTCTTAAACTTGGTTTGGTATTCCTGACTCAGTTCCAAGTGATAAAAATCTAAGTAGCTGATAGACACCTACCAATTGTAAGAGATTCCCTCCATCTCACTTGTACCCAACTCGTAATATATTCTTTTCACTTTCTGAAAACTGCTCAGCTCAGTTTCTCCTACTCTGTGTTCCTTTCTGCTATGAGGAAGCTGACATAACCTACTCCATCACTGACATCATGCTTAGGGTGGAGTAGGTGGGTCAGCAGCAGGAAAATAAGATATTAGGCAACATTACCTAACTGCAGTTTTTTTGAGGGAGAAGAGAGGAAATTGATCTGCAGAGATTAATATGGGGAATGTAGGAGGCAGGACAGAACATTCTTCAGGGAACTGTTGTGAAATACCTTGTGTATCCCAGCAACTGGGAAGCATCAGCTACCATCCTCACAGCCCACTACAAAAACAGTCAGTTTATGTACCGAATGCATGTGGAACCAGGCCAGTTCTAACAGTGCGTATGTGATTGCTGAGAATCTGAACAGCGGCTTGGCAACAACAAATCCCACCTGCATGCTTAACAAGCACAGAAATTGAATTTTAAGGGATAGAGCAGAAGCCAGTAGTTAACAGAAAGCAATCCTGACTTCTGCTATTTCAATTTTCTTCTAGCCTTGTTTTTTTTCATTTGACAGTGCTGATAGGACTTAACAGGAATTTCTTTAGGCTAGCTAAATAGATACTGCAGAACTGCAAGGTTTCTAGTATATTTAAGAACTTATTCTAAGAATGAGGAGTTGCCAACCTTTCAGGAAATAAATGAGCTAGTTTCCTAAGTGCTCTATAGAACACCTGTGAGCCGACTTGAGAATATTTAACATATTGCATGGGAAGAGGAGCATGTTGCAGGATCACAGCAAGGTGATCCTTGCTCTGCTATACTATGCACATAGCTAGTTAAAGCAGATTTCTGGCTGCATGACAGTTTTCTTCTCTACTGTGAGTCCACAACATGCATCCCATGCAATAGGAAGCATCTTAACACTGATAATAACATAAAGCCAGATTCTTACAATGCAGAGCAGTAAAACCCTAATAAAGGTTTTAAGGGTATCACAAAGTAAGCAGGTGACTGCTGGTACAGAGTGGGGTAATCTACTGCATTTTTCATTTAAAAAATAAACAGACTGGTCCCATCCTGCAGATAAGTGCTTTTTTCATATGCCTACACTAGGATTTTTTTGTATTGTTATTATTTCCAAAGATCTGTTTCTGGCTGTCAATTAGAAAGCTATGTAAGATTTTTATTTCACTTAAGAACTGAATAAATGAGCACAATGATTTTCCCTCTGTTTCTAACATGCCTTAAATTACAGATTGTTTAGTCTGCACTGTCTTAAAATTTTCAAAACATATTTTTAACCCATTTTGGTTGTGTGAATGTTAAGTAAAAGTGTCTTACCACATTGTACAGAATGTGTATGTTGACAAGCACGTGCTGTGGAGAGGAAAGTGTGAAGACTTTTCCAGGCTGGCATTTGTAACCAGAAGTTGGTTTTGTGGATTTGTGTTCTAAAGACTTAGCAAGCATGGCTGCCTCTGATTTCACCATTAAGGTTTACACTAAGAAAACATACCTTTAAATAAACAATGATAACCCCACTGAAGTGGAACGGGCTTCTACCTCTCTTTAAAACAAATTAAAAAAAACACCCAAAATCAAACACTTCCCCCATCCCAGTGGATATTATCACTGCTACTCTTCTGAAGCAACTTCTTTTACATCAAAATATCTGCTGTAGTTAATAGAAGCTAAAGCAAATACTAGAATGATATTCTCTCAGCTTACTTAAGAATAACAGTGTAGCATGAAAGTTTATGGTTCTGGTTCAGCTTACTTAAGTAACCACCAAAAATTGTGCTCATGATTCTCCACCAACTCTTTTTCAGGTTGCAACTATCCAAAAGGTATCTAGGCCAACCTTCAGCCATACTGGCTAAACTACATGGCAGTTAGGCAACTCAAGTTA